AACATTATTATTTTGTTTATTAAAGAAAATAAAATGTCTCTTTTGAGAAAGGATTTTTTAAAACCAGAGTCAAAGACAAGTGGAAATATTTATTCATGACTCATTAATGACAAATTAATCCAATGTGTTAGATGTTGTTGTCAAAACTTTAGAATCTCAATTTTTACTGGAGATTTATTTTCTTTCTTTTATTTGTTCTGCATCTTGTTTCTGTGCAGCACTTACAGAAGATTTATGAGCTCACCATCAACACATAATGATTTATTGCATTTTAAAATGGCACCCACCTTGTTCCTTTTTAAACTCATTTTCTGTGAGGAACACGGGCCTCATCAGCTCTCCCACAGGTGGCTGGATCGACACAAAGAACTTCTTGGTGTGGCTGCTGCAATACAACATACTTTTAGTGAGTTTTATAACAGTCTGAACCCTATCTTATCTCCTGAAAACAAAACTTTTTTTTTAAATCAAAGCAGAACACATTTTTATGTATTTGGGTCAGAAGGAAAACCTAAAAATAATTATAAAAACCTTGCATGTTTACCTTTTACTTAACTTTTTACTTGAGAGAAAAACATTTTGTTTTACTAACTTATATTAAAATATAATAAATTATAAAACATAATGTAATGTAAAATATAAAAAATATAGTTTGGATCTGTGGAATGAAATATACAAACTCTAAATAACCTAATTTTGAGGCCTCAGCCATCTCATGATCCCAGTTTCAATAAAAGCACAAGTATTTCCTGACTTCCAGGTTCAGGATTCAGCATGTCGATTCACTTCTTAATAATCATGTCTGCTGTAACAGACACATACATCAGGCCTCATGCAAGAACCGTTTGTACGACCAGATTTGTTCTCAAGTTGTGCGTACGAGTGGTTAAGGAGAACTTAACAATTTAGTGGTATTGTTACTTTTTTTTCAGATACAAACAAAATTCCTGAGTGGTCCAGACCTGTTGTATATTTTATGAGCAGTCAGTCTGCTGTTATCCAGATGGATTTTCTTCACTAAAAACTTCATTAGTTTGAAGATATTTAGAGTTGAAAATAAATCACACTCCATAATTATGTTGACAAGAGGCTATTTTGTTTGAGTTGGAATTATAATTTTAAATGTAATAATGTAGATGCAATGAAGGTTTTCGATACTTATTCTGGTACACTTAAAATGCTGATGTTTGAATATTTGAAATGAAAGAATTACAAAGAGAAATGAATTGAAGTTTTATTTTTAGTTTGTGGGTGTTAGGCTGCTTCTTCTCAGTTGGTGGTGATGAGGATCTGTCCTGTCCTGTTTACAAAACAAACAAACAATTAGATAAAATATAATTATTGCTATCACTAATCTTTGAAGTAGTGTGAGATGGTTTCTGAGTGTGTTGTGACTTTCCTCTGTCTCTTCCTCTGCAGGGTGTTCAGGCTAAAACAGTACCCTCTTCTTGTGGTGTTTAATGGCGGTTGGCAATAAACTGAATGTGTGCATTACTGCCACCTACTGGTATGGAGTGTGGTTCAAGATGATTTATATCCTACTAAAATTATTGTATTTTACATTTTCAAATATATCTATTCAAAGGAAATATAATAAATAAATAAACAAAAATAAACAAACAAATAAATAATAAAAAAGTACTACTATCAACTCAAATTCTGTTAAACAATTTTGTCTTTTTCAAAAATCGTATCATGATTTGCCTATATTTGCTCCCTAAATTCCTTTGTAATGAGTCTGTTATGTTAAACCTTTCCTTAATGTTTCTGAACTGTTTTATCATAAATTGTCTC